TATAACAAAAAACACTGTAAAAACAGTTTGTACAATAAAAAATCATGTATTTACACAATTTGTATTTGAGCTTAGTTTTAGTAAATTTTATCAATTTTAAGTTTTAGCAAAATTTCTTATTGTATTATCAATTTTGACGTTCTTTTAACAATTTAAAAATAGATTAAATGGAAAAAAATACTTAAAGCTATCTGCATTTTATTTTGTCTTTGTTGGCTAAACAGTTTCAATGTTACAGAGAGTATTAAAGAAAAACAATAGAGTAACTCTGGGCGAAACATATAAAACTAACAACATAAAAAACAGCTTTTCTCAAATACATAAAAAAATAAAATTAATACTTTCCTATGACAAATGAAGCCTTTTTCCACCCGCTGGCCCATCCAATTTTTTAAAACTATTTAATTTTGAATTATAGGAATTATTTTGGATTTACGGAAATTAATTTAGAATTACAGGAATTAATTTGAAATTATATAAATTAATCTAAAAAAAAGTGGAGCTACGATGGATTATAGGAATTACTGAAATTTGTTTGGAATTACTGGAATTTTGGTGCAATTTAATTTTGGTAGAATATTTTCAAAATTAAGTTGAATTTATTAGAACTATTTAATTTAAAATTAGAGGAATTATTTTAGAATTACGAAAATTAATTAGGAATTACAGGAATTAAGTTGGAACTACAGGAATTAATTTGGAATCATAGAAATAGAATTACGATCGATTATTGAAATTACTGAATTTTTTTTTCAATCAATGGAATTTTGATGGAATTTTTTGAAATTTTGAGAAATACCAAAACACTACCAAGTCATAGGCAACAGAAATAAAAAATGCTCTAAATGCATTGCAGACACAATAAAATATCGTGTTATTATTTGATTTTTTCAGGCGTGACATCAGGTCGTTCAATTTTCTAAGCCGGTGAAAACAAACAGTTAAAAATAAGGATATTTGTCGTAAAACAAGAAACCAAAGAATTGCATTTATTGTTGTGGCGTCGTTAAAATTGGCAGTTTGTTTACATAACCATTATCTGTAATAGATCTTCGTATAGAAAGCAAAATCGACTTCATTAACTCCTTCATCGCGTAAAAAAGTGTCATCGGTCACCACACTCGATCCATATAAACAATATTGCCACATATGGACTCTCACCCAACCCAACGAATCCATTCTGGGGGGATGTGTTTCTCTGCTATTTCCTTTTTATGTAATAGCATTCGATAACAGGAGGGCCGGTAGAAGGGGCCCGCACCACTATAAATACCTGATGGGCCCACCGAATCAGCATAGTGCTCTAGTGACTTAGTGAAGCATCAAAACCACCCAAAATGGCCTTCATGAAATACATCGTAAGTGCAGCAAAACGTGTGAAATCCCACCGAAATCTAAACTCGTTTTTTAGTTCGTTCTCTTTGCCGTCGTGTTGGCCCTGGCCGCCGCGGCCCCGGCCCCCGGATACCACCACCACGGACACCAGTAAGTCGATTTTTCGGCACTAGAGCCAAATTAATGTGTTTTGCAGCGAGCATGTCGTCATCCACGTGCCGTACCACGTGCACACCGTGCACCACCACCACGTGAAAAAGGTGCACGTGCCCGTGGTGAAGAAGATCTACGTCCATGAAGAGCCTCATTACCATCATGACCATCATCATGGTTGGTGGTAGATGTATAAAAAGTCACTCGAAGGTAACTTTCCGTAAAAGTAGTGACTTTCTATTGGTTACGTCATTTCTTGCAGATATTATGTCCCATGGACACTGTCGCCAGGAAAATACAAAAAGTTTCGATGAGATAGTTTTGTAGTTCCAGGACGTTTTTTATTGTTAATCATTACGCTTCCATTGTTGATAGTCAATATGTAACAGTTTTTATACTTGATAATAAATTTTTTATATTACTCCTGAGTTATTTCTCTCCAAGACCATTTACTTTCCACAAGTTGTGAGGTTGAAACAACTAATTAGACAAAAATTAAAAAAATATACATAAAAATGTAAAAGGTTCAAAATCGCTTTCAAGTTTTTTGTTTCGTTGAGAATAAAAAAGTAAAATTTTGTGTTTTTGAAAAAAAAATAATGTAGTTATAATTTGTTTTTGTTGATAATTAAAAGTGATCAAATTGTGGCGAAAATTTTGTTCCAATGCAACACCACTTATTTTTTATTTTATCGTGTTTTGTTATCTTTTTTTGTGTTTTTGACAAAAATAATGCATTTGCTCCTTGAATTAATAGAGATATTAAATTTATTATTACTCTTTTTATCTGTTTTATAAAGACAGCAATACAATTCTCAGGATTTTAGACAATTAATTAATATAGAAAAAATTGAATTAGTAATGAAAAACAAAATAAAACTTTCTCAATTTTAAAATTAATCCATTTATTATTTTTTTAAATAACACAATTCTGCAATAGAACTGAAATTAAAATCTTTCAATTCAAAGAAATAAAAATTCTGTAGAAAGTAGTTTTAGTTTATGCAGTTTTGATCGATATACCAGGTGAACAAAAAAAAGAAACCAATTTGCTTACATTATTAATTTTTTGTCAAAACTAATTGACAAATGATCAAGTACTATAAAAATGTAACGTTTTTGTCAATAATAATATTTTTTCAATTTTTGTTTTGTTTTTGAGTTTTGTAAAATTCACTAGAAATACTTTTTTCTACAAAGGATAAAAACTATCTACATTTCTTTTGTATTTATTTAAAAAAATTGCAAAACTCAAAAACAAAATAATATTTTATTTAAAACATTATCACATTTTTTATGGCACATCAATTTTGATTAATTATTATTTTCTTAAACGAAATGATCAAAAAAAACTCTTAGTTCTATACTTTTTGTTCACTCTGTATATTCGTTATTAAATATTTTTTTTATAAAAAACATTAGATGTTCTGGTTAATTATCTTATAATTTATAACGAATGATCAAGACTATAAAGATGTGACGTTTTTGTCAAGAATAATAATTTTTGAATTCTTTTTTTGTTTTTTTTTAAGTTTTGCAAAACTGTTGTTTGTAAAAAGACAACCCATTAGAAAACTTTTTTTACAAACGATTAAAACTATTTACATTTTTTTGACCAAAAAATTGCAAAACTCAAAAACAAAATAAAATTTTATTTAAAACACGATTACACGATTTATAGCTCATCAATTTTTATTTATTTATTTTCTTAAAAGAAATGGTTAAAAAAACTCTTTTTTGTTCACTTTGTACATTTGTTGTTAAACATATTATTTTATAAAAAAAACATTAGAGGCTCTGGTTGCTCATCTTATAATTTATAACAGGTTTTTCAAAGTTTTCCATAACTTTTTAATATTAATTGACAAAAGAAATAAAATACCATTTTATTGAAATAAAAAAAAAATATATTTTTTCTTTTGAGAATTTTTGTTTGTGTTTTGTGGCGCCACTGTGAAATAAGGTTCGTACACTTTTGATAAAATCAGTTTTTTATTATTTTTTTTCTTAATCGACAAAAAAATAAAACGAACTAATTTTTATAAATTAAAGAAAAATTTCTTTGAAGAACATTTGTATTTCTATTTCTGTGGCGCTCAGTGTATAAACAGAAAATAAGAATTTATACACTTTTTTGGGTAACTTTTTTATTAATTTTTTAAATGTTTCCATTAATCTACAAAAAATAAACCTAAACACAATTTTTTTCAAATAAAAAAATATATCTTTCTTTTGATAACCTTTGTTATTTCCGTTTCTGTAACGCTCAATGTATATAATTTTGCACAGTTTTGTATAACATTATAGGCAACCAATTTTGCCACTTGTCAAGTGTGTCATCTACCCACAAACGCTCAACTTTCAAATCAAGCCTTGTGTCACTTTGAATAAGATGTTGAGGCAACAAAACAATAATTTATTTAATTGAAACACCATTAGAAATCGCTATTTCAACAAACCTTGTTTAAACTAGAATCAATTTAAATATTTTTAAATAAAGAATAATTTTCTTCGTCACTCAACAATTTTATTGTTCGCATGTTATTTTTTCCCAAGTTTAAGTGAAACTCATCACTGACTCAGCAAATTTCAAACAAATCGCCACAATAATGGGCGATATTTCTCTCAATTGATTTCCTTGGGGCCATCGTAAATAAAACAACTTCCGACCAGATGCTCCAGAAGAATGCGCCCCTCTTGGTAAAACTGGTAAGACTTTGTCCTCCGCCTACTCTTCATTACCTTTCACCTAAGTGCGATAAGGTTAGGATCGGAGAAAATCCTTTCACTCTCGTGAAGATCCCCGATCTCGTGACCATAAATCACCGATTTTTTCGCGATGCTTCCCATTTTGCTCACTTCCTCTTCGGCTGTGATGGACGTATGTCATAACGGAAGTGACCACGGGCCATGGCCGCCTTCAGCTGCAATTGCTTTCAACGACAACTTTCCCAATTAAGAGCCGAATGGGTAGAAAGCGCAAAACGGGGGCCGGGAGGCCCAATGGCCAAGAAACAGATTGCGATTGGTCACAGATCAAAGATTAAAGAGTTTATGGGTGGCTGGAGCAGTCTTGACCTTCTTGACCAACTGTGTTAACATTTATTTAAATGAGGGGTTCTCGAAACCCAAGACCAAATAAATCTCTCAAGAATGTCTCGATGCTTTATTTAAGCCTTCAAGTTGGCTTGTAATGACTTGTTTAATTTGGTTTCTTGTCTTGCTGTTTGCGGTTTCTACTCACTGTTTGGTTTCGCGAGCGTGACAGATGATCACTTGAACTTTTTTTCACTGCATAAATTATAATTTTTATTCAAATTTAAAACAAAATTAAAAGAAATATTTTTTTATAAAAAAACGTTTTTATCTAATAAATTGTCTTAAAATCGTGTGTGAATGTACTCTCGGCATTCTCAGGAAGAAATTATTACTTTGTTTTATGTTTGTACAAATAATTTCTATTTCAATTATTTGTTTTACAAGACAAAAACATTTCTTTTCCTTAAGATGAAACCGCAAACGGTGTATTTTTCATAATTTTATGTTATTGCAAACAATAGTTTTACTTTAGTAGCTTTATTACGTTTCCTCTTCCGTTTCGAATCATTTGAGATTAAGTGCAAACAAAGTAAATAAAAATCAAAAAAAAAAATCAAAGACAATAATTCAAACAAATCCAAGTTGAAATAATTTGAGTGAAGAACCTTGCGTTTAATGGGTCATTATATTAAAATTAAGTTGGCAATATTGAAGAAAATTTTTAAGTGGAGTAACTAATAGTAAGAAAATATCAAGTACTTTTCTAAAAAACAAAGTTGTCAAAAATTAAAAAAGAAAATTTTCAGTTTTCCCCACATACCACTTCAAGATGATTTTGTGAATTAGAATCTTTCTTCATTCTTTCTTTCACGACCTCTAATATTAATTTATGACTTTTTACGTTTTTTCAATGTGCATGTATCTGTTTTATCATATTTTTTGTTCTTTATTTTTGATTTATTTTATCTTTGTTTTATATTTCCGCTCTTTATTTTATCTTTCTTATATTTTGTGTGTTTTACTTTTTTTCTTGTTGTTTTATTTACATTTTTCTGTTTATTTAAAAATTTCAAATTTTCTTGGTACACTTTCAAAATCTGTTTCTTGTTTTAGATAGTAATAATAATGATAGAAAGGCTTTGTTCTTTAATAACTAAAATGAACAAACATTTTGTCAAATACGTACCATGTTTGGGACAATAATGTTTAATGTTTTCTGTTGTAACAGATAGTTTTGTTAACAAAAACGCTTTAAAAATTATATATAAAAAATTATTTTACAAAACAATATTATTGCAATATTTGTTATTCTATTTTTTCTACTCTTTATTCTCCCTCTCTCTACTTTTAATTCTCTTCTCTGATTTTTATTTTTTTTCTTTTCACTGTTTCACTTATCTGTTCTTTTTTTTAATTTCTAAACAATTTTAGACATAATTCTCAAAAGTTTGAGGTACGATTCCTGGTCCTAAACATGTTTTCTTTCTGAATATTTTTGATGCTTCAAGATCTTTAATCTGTTTAATCATATTTTTGCTCTTTCATTTTGCTTTGTTTTGCATTTCCGGTTTTTATTTTTATCTCTCTTATATTTGGTGTTTTACTTTTCTTGATCTTGTTACATTTTCCTATTTCTTCCAAAATTTCAAATTTTTTTAGTACACTTTCAACCTCATTAATTTGTAAGTTGTCTTTTTTTGCTTTTTTCTGCTTAATAATTTATAATAATGATATAAAGGCTATGTTCATTAATAAATTAAATAAACATTGTCAAATACGAATCATATCCCCACTAATAATGTTCAATGTTGCAGTTTTATTCCAAGATTCATGATACCATAATTTGTCGTTTTGCTTGTGGCGTTTTGTAATAAATCGCTCGATATAAATCTAATGAGGAGCGTTAAGATCTCGTTACTTGAATTTCAGTCAGATAGAAAGTGTTTAAAGTCCTATAAGGCAAGTGTCCTGTTGAGAAATTTGTTCACGATCATTTTTCATTCTTTTGAAACAAATAGCGCTTTTATTTCCTTTCTATTGTCTCGTATTGTTTAATCATTTGTTCAACACATCGCTCATATAATCTGTGACTAAACGAGCCGTAGGCACATAAATTTAAGAATTTCTCTCATTTTTCGGAGTTTTTTATTTTTAATTACTATTAATTAAATAATCCAAAGATTTACGACCGTCTGGAAGATAAATTAATACCGGTTGATAAATATTCATGTGGCAAAATTTTTCATCGGCTGTTGCACCGAATCAATCAAAACAAACATTCACACTTTCAGCCGATTTAATTTTTTTCCCAATTAAGTCGAATTTATGTTTTATTTAATGACAATAGAGACGACTTCCCACACCGGTGGAAGAATTTCTCTT